GAGCAAGCTCCAGAAGACAGTGAGGCACAGAGAAGCCTGGCATGCTGCAGTCCATGAAGCTGCAAAGAGTTGGAAACAAATGAGTGCATGAACAATAAACAAGACCAGATTACTTCTGCGTGCTAAGTCGCTTCAGCCGTATCCAACTCTGTACGACCCTATGGACTGTAGCCTGCCAGGCTCCTCTACCCATGGGATTCTCCAGGCAAGAATACTGGAGTGGGTTGCCATGCCCTCCTCCAGGGGATCCTCCTGACCCAGGGACCAAACCTGAGTCTCTTAGGTCTCCTGCATTGGCTGGTTCTTTACTGCTGGCAACACTGGGGAAGCTAGATTACCTCTAAGTTTCCCTTTTATATATAAAGGTATCTGAGACAATGAAAAAAAGTCTCAGAGCTCATCAACAGACTCCAGAATCCAATCCCCAGTGACCCTCATGAACCAACAGTTTGGAGAAGGTAACATATAGCATAGCAATTCCTTACTTGAGGTCACTAGACCTGCAGATGTCTACAGTTAAAGGACAAGTGCTTCTTGAGCCAGTTTAAATTTTTCAGGACATCTGTAAGAAATCATACATACACTTAGCCCTCTCTGAGGTAAAGTTTACGTATCTTTGCCTTTGGTTGTAGTCGTGTTACTAGCCTTAAAACACTGACTCAAAGCTTACTCACAGCTCAGTATATGAAAAATAAAAAGAACACAAATTATTTGTTATAATGTATTCTGATAGGCAAATGTTTCCAAATATGGGAGCCATTATGAATTCCTTCGATAAAAGCTTGGGAAATACAGATACGGGAAAGTAAACAAGTCTAGTGAAGTGAAAGTCACTCAGTAGTGTCCGACTCTTTGTGACCCCATGGACTATCCAGTCCATGGAATTCTCCAGGCCAGAATACTGGAGTGGGTAGAGTTTACCTCAATAAGATTCACTTCCTATCAACTGTGACTTGGTTTCCATTTTCACCCATAAAATCAACAAATACCATAGTATCCACCTGACTCTAAAATTCTAAGATTTTTAAAATATTATATAACAACCTAAAAATGTCTGCTAAGAAGGCAGTTCTTTTATTCCGGGTCCCTTCAAAGAACTTTCTTTACTGACTGGAGTTATCACATCATTAGAATAAACAAGAAATACATTATATTAATAAACAACACATAGGCTGTAGGATTCAGAAACGTACTTATACATGGCCTTAGAAAGCAAAGAGAGAATAAACTAATAATAAACTAAAAAGAAAGTAAAGTGTGCTTGTGTACTGCTGACAGCAAAAGTCAACAGGAAACACTTCAGTATAAAATCTCCCCAAAGCATGGAATGTCCCTGATTAACAACAAATGAGTTATCTTTCCTTCTCATACTTCACTCCCAATACACCAGCTTCCACATGCACCCCTGGAACAAATAAACTGAAGAAGGGGAGGAGAGCAATGGGAAAAAAACACGATACCATAATCAGCCTCCTTTCAAAATTCCACAAGGTGAGAGGGAGTGGGGAACTGGCCATGGTTGGTGCTAATAGTGGTTTAGTCACTCAGTTGTGTCTGACTCTCTATGACCCCATGGACTGTAGTCCACCAGGCTCCTCTATCCATGGGATGTCCCCAGGCAAGAATACTGGAGTGGGTTGTCTTTTCCTTCTCCAGGGGATCTTCCACACCCAGGGATCAAACATGCAGACCCACGTCTCCTGCACTACAGGCAGATTCTTTCACTGCTGAGGCACCAGGGAAGCTATAACCCAGCATAAAATTTTCATATTTACAGTTTAATGTGTTGTGGACTTTTTTCTTAATTTTTTTTTAAGTCACAAAAATTTTTTCTCTGTCTACTTTATGTTAAAAATCAAAGTTATCTGAATTTGGGGAGATAGTAATTTAAACTGAGTATAACACTGGTGGGGGATGCATCAGTGAGAAGGAGAGTTATTTGTGGGATTTGGGGGAGGAAGATGGTGGTGAGAGCCTCAAAAAAGGAAAAGCAGGCAAGATCCTTTACAACAAAATACATATAAAAATCCAAGCTCAGAGACTTCTAATGAATTTTTAAAAGGTCATTCCACTTGCTAAGACAGACCAGAAAAGCCAGACCATCTTCTCCTCAAGCAATAAAAGTTATGACTATTGAGAATAAACAATTTTAAACTTCCAATTCAGCATTACCATTAGGGAGAAAAAAGCAAATCAGAAATCTAAAGTTATGTTTTAGAAGGTAATATAGTATTCTGCTCACAACTATATAAGAATGAAGGGATTTGTCTCATTTATTTAATACAAAGGAGAACACACTCCTTTAAAAATATAAAGAATCCCATTAATCCTTGGTGCACCAACAATCACTGTATTTACATATTATATATAAATACATATATATTCGGGCTTCCTAGGTGGCTCAGTAGTAAAGAATTCTCCTGCCAATGCAGGAGACTCTGGTTCAATTCCTGGGTCAGAAAGATTCCCTGGAAGACATGGCAACCCACTCCAGTATTCTTACCAGAAAAATTCCAGAGGAACAGAGGAACCTGGTGGGTTACAGTCCATGGGGTCACAAAGAGCATGCACACACACAGATATACTCAACATCAAATAGCCACAGTACAATTTAAAGTGCCTACATGAGTCAAATTAAAACACAACTCAATGACACCACCTATTGTTGTTAGTCACTAATTTGTGTCCAACTTCTTTGCGACCCCATGGACTGTAGCCCATCAGGCTCCTCTGTGCATGGGATTTCCCAGGCAAGAATACTGGAGTGGGTTGTCATTCCCTTCTCCAGGGGATCTTCCTGACCTAGGAACTGAACGCGCATCTCCTGCATTGACAAGCAGCTTATTTACCACTGAACCACCCAGGAAGATCCAACACCACCTACAGCTCCCTACAAATAGAGCTTATAAAATATATCACCTAAAAACTAATAAACTGCACTTAAATATAATCAGTTACATCCACTTAACAATTCTGCCAGATTAAACAAAAAATACAAAGATACAAACCCGAGTAAGACTTAGCCTTTGACTTCAAGGAATTCACATGATGGGGGAAGACAGAAGCGTGTGAAAATCAAAATCATTTGCGATCACAGAGAAGAGCAAACTCACAAACTTAAACGGTAACCAGAATTTGCCAGATGAAAACTGGAAGGGTGCAAACAAAGGCATGAATGTAGAGAACACAATTAGATAACCAGAAGTCCTGAGTGGCCAAGCCAGAGGATTAAGAAAGAAGGATAAATGGGCATGAAATGGTAGTAACTAAGCCAGGAAAACGGAGCTTGTGGCTTGCAGCTGGGTTGCAAAGGGCTACATATTCTATAACAAAGTGTTTGTTTGGTGTTTATTTAGAAGACCACAGAGAACCTCATATATAATAGTTATTAGAAAGTTAACTGATGACAATGTGGAAAACAGATTTAAATGGAGATTGGGAGAAGATTAGAAGATATGAGAACACTAAAGCAATAATTAGGATATTACCGCAACAATGCAAATGAAATGTAATGAAGTCAGGAAAAATACAAACAACTAAACAGCAGCAGCGGGAGCAACAACCCATGCCAACTTAGCATCAACTGTGTGTCCATCTAGTTGACCATAAGTCAAGGAAGAGGCAATAGGGGAAATAGAGAAAAGGATGCAAACAAGAAGTCTTTAGAATATAATCAAAAGGACAATGACTACTGACTATTCATACCCCACAGAGGAACTTTACTTACAAACTCAGTCTGCCTTCCTAAACTGCTAAAATATAAAACGCTTTAGTTCACTTAACAGCTGTTACAAACTTAATTTTAACCATATGAAAAATTTTGGGTATCTTGCACAGTAATTATTTAAGTCTAAAAATATCCCTGTGGCCACAAGAAAAGCAAAGAAACAAATACAGAACTAAAATAGAGTAGTTTTCACTTGAAAACTAACCCAACATTGTTACTCACCTATATGCCAATGTAAGAATGTAAGTTAAAAAAAAAAAAGCAGTTTCCAGTCAGAAAACAATGATCTTGGTATATCCAAGTTTGGACGAGTCTAAATTAATATGGCTTAGTTAGAAACCCTGAAAAGTTATGTAAATAGTAGAAATATTCATAAACACTACCTAAATTAAATATGGGAGGGGAAAAAAAGGAACTATCAAAAAAATCTTTGGGCTACAAACAATTCAGCTACCTGAACACATAATTACGACAACACATAGTTGGTATTTTTCATGAAATCAACGAGGTTTTGTGCACCACAGGAAAAAATCTGATGAGGCTTACAGACCCAATTTCAATTTAATAAATACATTAATATAGGGAAATAAGAATGGCAGCTACTCTGCTTCAACATGCTAATCAACCTTTACAAAATTATGTTTGCTGTCAGTTTGTATTATAGAACTGCTAAAACAGTGGTGTTTCTTTCAATAAAATGAGTCATGATTACCTCTATAAAGAAAGTTATTGACTTTCACAATGCTGGCAAGATGTCTTATCTTTTAAATTCAAAGTTAGCTGATTGTGGATACAGGTTAAGTTTAACAATAAAATCCGATAAACATATGTCCCACTAAATTTAATGTTCAAACTTATATTTGTCATGTTCTAACAATCATCTGAGGTTGACTGGCTCACCCCCAGATATTAATCATTAACCAGGTGTCAGTTTAAAATTCCATGTGAAATCGTTAAGGTCAATAAACACAGAAAGGTCAATTTACTAGAAGGATTAAATAAGAATTTCCATTTCACTGTTTATATAATTTGATAAATTTGTAAGAACTTCTTTTTCATAAAAGTATGTGAACATTATAGGTTTCCCCACTGAAGGAAAAAAAGTTTGTATTGTGTTAGTTCCAGTTACAATTTCTAGCTGAGTTAAAGCTCTAATAGCCTTAAAGCAGGAAATCCAAAAGGAAATTCCATCATCAGTTCCTGGGGCTTGGTAACTCAAAGGTTCTTTGAAACAGAGATATAGAAGTTCTCCAACTATTTACTATAACCTTACCTCATATCTTCAAGCAAATCACATTCTGCTTGATGTTTGGCTTGAAGTTTTGTCATCTGTTCAACTTGAATGTTTTTCAGTTCCTGTGTAACTTTCACCTGAAATATATCATATATTTATAAGGGCTTACCGCAACTTTAAAAAATTATTTAAGGAAAATATGTAATACTTGTCAGAATATATAACTGTTACTTGCCTCTCCCCTGAGGACCACAATCCTGTTATTAGCCACCTAATTTTGTTTACTGCAGATATTTAATTTTAACAACTAGCCAAAATAACCTTGAAGCAGAAGCTAAATGAAAGTACATGAGTATATAAATTACAGATTAAAGAGGTGTAAAATAAACTGCCAGTCGTTTCATTTCATGTACAATACCTATCTAGGTCTTCTTAGAGCTTTAAAAGAGTCTGTCTTCTATTTCCTCCAAACAGGATTCAAAGGTTATGAACCATCAGGAGAGGTGAGCAGAGCATAGATGGGAGAAGGAGACATAAGAATGCCTAACATCTAATGACTGAAATTTACACAATCATGAAATTATATGCATCTATCAACTACAAACATTATTCTATAATGGCTAGGAGAAGCACACTCCCAGGATGACGCCCTTGCTGACAGCACATCAAATCACAACCTCTTGTTCACAAAGAAGAAAGCAAAAGTGACCTTCCAGCATATGCGGTGCTTTTAAGCCACCCCAGCAAGCCGGTTCCCGTGGCGTTTCCACTTCAAACAAGAACAGTAAATGCAAATTGGCCAGTGCCTCGCCCGCCAGGCCGGGATTCAGGTTACAGTGGGCCTGGAACCCTCGCCGCCACCGGAGCAGGGCTACCGGAGGGCTATGTGTGAAAAGAAAAAGACTCACTTGGAGAACCCAGGTGAGAAACAGAAAAGAAGAGGAAGCAGACACGAGTGAGTTAGGCATTCACGAAATATTTGCCCACAAGGGGAGTACAGAACAGCCTCCTCCACCCAGTGCCCTGAGTAGACACTCAGTAACCATCTGCAAGATTGAAACGACAAGGACACAGCCTCGGTCCCTGGGGAAAAAAAATGGGGGAGAGGACACTGAAACAGTTCTGGAAGGGTTGAAGCTGCTGACAAGCCCGGAGCACTCGTCACTCCCACCCCAAGCCCAGATCGCGGCGAACACGCCACGCACGGCCCGGTTCTCGCTCTCCTGGGAAAAGAATCACCACCTTCCTCTCCCCCTTGTCGGAGGGGCGGGGCAGGAACCGGGAAGAGAAAGGCAGGACCGTTCAATGCTTAATTTCTTGTTTTCCCCTGGGGTGGGGTGGCTATTGCGACTTCTTTGCGGTCTCCCGGTGGGAAAAGCGAGCCAAATCTTAAGGCGAGGCTGGTAACAAACGTCCTGTAAATCGGCAAATGCGCGAGGGTGGCAACAAGCGAGAGGGGGGCTCAAACCTGGTGCAGACTAAACAATCACACAAACACAAGGCTCTGCAAAGCTGCAGGGGCTACCCCACCTCCCCTCGGTGCAGCCCCGGAGAAAGCACTTTGCAGAGAGCAGCACTGCCATGCGCGCTCGCCCTCACACACACACACGCACACTCGAAACTCTTGTGAAATGTCTAGGGTTGGGGGGGGGTGGTCTCCTGTGCGGTGGAGGGGACGAGCCACGGCCGCCCCGCCACCGCAAAGGCACCAAACACTCGCGCCCCCCTCCAGGAACCGGCAGCAAGTGAGTGACAAGCCCGAGACGACGGCGGTCACGGCCCCCCGAGCTAAGGGGGAGGGGGCGCCGCGATCGCCCCAGCCGCGTTCCTTGTACGCATCCCCGCCCAAAACCTCAAAGACCCCCAGCTGCATCCTCACCTTCCTCGGCGGCGGCTGCATGATGCTGAAGGGACATCAATCCTCCTCCCACAGCGGCGTAAGTGAGGAGAGGAAAAGGAGGGTCGAGAGGGTAGGGCCGCCCCGGGAGCGGGCGTGTGCTTGTGTGTGTGTGTGTGTGTAAGAAGAGCCTGAGAACGAGGACTCGCCCGGGAAGCTGCAAGGCCGGCGGGTGGCAGGAGAACCCGGGTCGGAGGGTGAGTGTGAAGAGAAGGAGGAGGAGCCCCGGCAAGGCCTGAGCTCGGGCGGCCCGGGGGGTGTGTGAGGCAAGGAGGCGGAGACCGCGAGGGGGCGGGGGCCTGGCTGCGGGGGCGCAGGGTCTCCCAGCACCTCTGAAGCAGCAACCCTGTTGTCCCGTCCCCTGCCCTCCGCGCCTCCCCACCCGCCGCCGGCTCCGCGGTTCCTCACACGCGGCCCTCCCACCCCCACTAAGGCAGCCCGACCCTCTCTGCCCGGCCCCGGGAGGTGGTAGGCGGCACCGCGCTCTGTGCTTCGGTTCCTCCACTCAGGCCGCGGGAATTTCCGGCCTCAACGCGCAGCGCAGCGCCCCACTCTGGCGGCGGAGGGGACAGCTTAGGCCACAGCAGGGCTCGAGGGGCCGGGCCAGGCTTCTGGGAGGGAGCGCGGCCGCGGCTTGGGGCTCCGTATCGCGGCGGGGAACGGAGGGAGCTAACGGATCGGTCGGCGAATGAGAGGGGTAACTACGCTATCGCATCACGGAAATCCGCCCCCCCGTTCTCTCCGAGAATGGCACGTTCCAAACGCCTCCTGTCCTCCCTCCCCCACAGTGGGAGCCAGCCGGGGGCTTCCCGCGCGCTTTCCCGCCTGCCTGCCGCGATGCGCGCCTCCGGCGGGGGCGCGCACGTGAGCGGGAGAAGGCTCTGCGCCGACGCACGCGCGTAAGCTGCCGTCTTCTCCTGACGCCCACTCGTGTGTGTGGTGTGTCTGAGTGTGTGTTAGTTACAATGTGGCGGGGCGGGGTGGCGGGGAGCAGGCACCATGCCTATTTGCGGGAGTAGCAGAGTGCCTTTTTTGCTTCATGGTCCTCCAACACCCCTACCCTCTCGTGCAGATGAGGTGGCAGGCCAAGGCACCTAGGAGCGAGCGTGGACAAGTCCTTTCGCAGCGGCCCCGGGTGCCTGGCTTTGGTGAGGGCGAGGGGGAATAGTTGTCCTGCAAAGAAAAATCTGTCGTCTGCTACAGGGCGTCCAAGTCAAAGAGCGTGAGGTCGTTAAGGCCAGGACCCACCCCATCCCCCATTTCACAGATGAAAGGCCAGAGGAGTGGAGACTTTATGAAGGTTACAAGCAGGAGTAGAATCTCTGAGTAACTAAGTGTTCTCGAGGGTTCAGAGAAACAGGTGCAGATAATAAAGAGGAAAAGTAAAGAAGGCTCCAGGGGCAGTGGAGGAAGCTCTTGAGTGGGAGTCAGGACCTCTAGGTGCCAGCCCACTCTGGGTGCCAGTCCATTCTGCCTGCGCCTAGCTGTTTGGGTGAGCTCAGGCTTCCTCATCTCCCAACGAGGATGCTCTGGTCTGCTCCCCGGACTCCGTCTTCCTCCTCTATCCAGATCATCTGGGTGTAGAGATATCAGCCTCCCTTGAAGTCCTTAGAAAAATGAAAAACACCTCTCTTCCGGAGTCATAGGATGTGTGGAGGGTGAATTAGAATGCCCCAGTTTATCAAAAGTTGGGGTCTCAAACACCTGTTCTCAGAAGCGGGGTCAGGCAAAAGAGGAAAGTGAGTGAAGCCTGGAGAGACCCAAATAACTTGACCAAAGCCTCTTGGCCAGCTATTAGGAAGATGGAACAACCTAGATTGTTTACATTGTTAGCCTAGATTCTTGAATATGAAGTTGATAGAATCAGAGCTATGCTTGAGTCAGATTAACCTGTATAGGAATTGGAAGACTAGGCCTGCTATTTCTGGTTTCCTTGAGGTCATTCAAAAGTGAACCCTTTATCAGAGTCCTCAATTAGTATCTGGGAAGGCCTAGGGCAAGGGGACAAGTGGGTGGAGGCCCGGCTCCCTGGCCTCTGTGGGGCTGGCAGCTAGTGCCTAGGGTGGAGGTAGCAGGCTGGGCTTTAGTCTCAGTTCCACCAGCAGTTCATTGTGAGGCCTTGACCTAGTCAGTTCATCTCTTTAAACCTGTATTTCCTCACTTGTAAAATGGGCATCTAAAACCAGCTTCACAGGCTCGTTATATTAAATAAAATCTCTCCTACCACAGGGCCTCTCGTATAGTGTTTAATACATGCTGGTTGATTCATCATTTATCCAAAAAGTATTTGCTAAGGTCCTGCTTTGTGCCAAGCCTTGGACCAGACACTGGGGACACAAGGGTGAACAAGGAAGAATCAGCCTGGGCCTTCACCGTGGCTGAGTTCCAGACTGACCATTCCATGAATGACACTGGGCTAGTGGGGAGAAAGGGGTAACTGCTTGCCCAAATGCAGTGTCCTGCATACAAAAGGTTACAACTAGCCTGGTCCAGAAATTATCCTCCCTTCACCTCTCTTTATTGGAAGTGAGCACTAGGCATATAAAAGTGCTGGATGTTGGGAACTTTGGGATCCAGTCTCTATCACTGGTCTGCTAAGCCTTCTCTAGGCCTTGATCCACAATTGCAGAGTAAGGTAAGTGAATGAGCCTGGAACCTAGTAAGCTCTTCACAGCTGAAGTCAAACCCTGGGACTTGACTTTATGGATTGAGGAGGGTACCCTCCACCTGATTTGCCCTTATTCTGAAGCCAGGAATGGCACTGACTTTCTGGAATGATTTCCTTTGCAGGTGTTGTAAGAAGCTAAGAGGCAACACCAGATGGGCTTACTTGCTAACTGCTTTCTCAAAAATGTGGTTTCTTTTAAAATGTATTTAATATTTACCAAGTGCCTTTTCCCAACCCCAGACTTTTATATTACTTTTCCAAGCTAACTTTCACTATCGTCCTATGAGAGAGTGTTGTTTTCTTCATTTTACAAATGAGGAAACAGAGGCTCGGTGAAGATAAGTGACTTGCCCTGAAGTGATGGATTTGGGACTAGAACTCAGTTCTCCTGTTTGCGTCTATGCATGCTCAGCCACTCAGTCGTGTCTGACTCTCTGTGACCCTATGGACTGTAGCCCACCAGGCTCCCCTGTCCGTAGGATTTCCCAGGCAGGAATACTGGAGTGGGTAGCCATTTCCTTCTCCAGATGATCTTTCCGACCCAGGCGTCAAACTCCCATCTCGTGCATTGGCAGGTGGATTCTTTACCACTGCACTGTCTGAGGTTGCCTCTATGAGACGTGTTCAAGAAATTGGGAGAGTTCACCCAAGTAAAAAAGCAGGCTTGGGAGGGTACAATCCATATGTTCCAGACTCCACAGGGATAGAGAAAGAGATTTCTATAACATGTAAGCCTGACTAAAATGTCCCCTTTGAACCAGGCTGGGGACTTCCAGAGCCTTGCTCCTGCAATGCAGGCAAGCACTCTGTTACAGTCAGATCTCTTGAGATTCTTTGGGGGAAATGCCACAGAACTTTCCTGTGGCCCTGGAGACAGAACTGGTACAGGTCTCAGCTGCATCTAAAGGAGGTTTTCCAGGCAGAGTGGCCCCTGGAGGGAGTGAGCTCCTCTGTCCCTGTGACTGTGCAACCAGGTGCTGGCTCCCTTCCATCGAGGAGGCCACAGATGGGATTCTTACCCTGGGAAGGAATTAATAATAGCTACCATTTATTTTGCCTCTTCCATGTTTCAAGCTCTGAACTAAGCATATTATTTTCATTGCTTCTAACCCTCACAACAGCTCCTAGCAATACATATGAGCCATTTCACAGATTTCACAAACTAAGGCCCAGAAGTAAAATGACCTACCCAAGGTCACACAGTTAGGACAGGAGAGCCAGGCCTGGCCCCTGACTACCTCTGGCTCTGAAGCTGTGCTCTCCCTTGAGCATGCCCGCGGCTATATAGTCTCCTGGAAGGAATGTGATTCTAAATTTAAGTCAGAGCCAGAACTGAAAGTTGGCCTGGTACAGATATAAGAGTGGGCATTGAAAGGTGAGCTATTCTAGTATTCCACAGGCCTCCCAGGAGAAACCGCAGGTAAAGTATGCAGCAGCACTTGAGCATGGCTAGCATGGAACAGCACCCTATCTCACCCACCCCAGCACCCCAGAATGGACACCCACAACAGGTTGGTACTCCATTCAAGGCTTTCTCCAGAGAAGGTGGCCACCATCCCATCTTCCCATTCTGCACCAAGGCACCCCTTCCTGTAGTGGGGATTCAAAGCCTCCTCTACACCCTTCCCTGCTTTGTCATTATCCCCCACTCACATTGTTGCAGACTGCTCAGGACTACCTGTCTGCCCATCCAGATGCCAGCTATTTCCTGCCTGAGCCCCACACCCTGCCCCTGCAAGCTGACCTGGGGATGCTGTTGCAGACAATGCTGTCTGTGACCTCCACCCCCATTCACCTCTCTTCTACCCTAGTCACCTTTACCCCTCTGTCTCCAGCTCACACACACACACTGGTTTTTGCTCCTGCCTGAGGCATCTCTCATACAGGCCTCTGTTAAGCCTGATGTAGAAATGAGCCTGTCTCCTCCACAGCTCTCAGACAGAGAATCACAGCCCACTGGAGTGAGGCTTCAAAATCAGTAGCCACAAGAAGAGTGCAGAGGCTTCCTAGGGCACAAAGTGAGTCTGTGGCAAAACTAGATCTTAGATTCCACCCAGCATCAATAAGTCTCTTATTTTGGGCTCAGTTGTAAGCAGCTATCTGGGGTATACTCCAGGCCCTGTACTCCAGCAGCCCGCAATCTCAACATATTAACCAAAGGTATAGCAGTAAAGTCAGGACATGCAGGTCAGCCCAGGAGAGTCAGGTAGCAGGGATTTAAGGCCAGAGGTGAGTCCCTGCGAGGCAGGCACTGGGGTAGGGAATTACGTGCTCTGTCAGTGCCCCTGTCAAGGAGTATTACAGCTCGGGATGGAGGCGAGGAGACAGTGCCAAG